TCTCAACCATGTCACTAAACAAACTCAGCATGCACCTTTGGAATGTTGTAGGAGCATTACAAAGTCCAAACGACAAATTTTTGAATGCAAAGGTGTCAAAAGGGTATGTGAATGTTGTTTTCTATTGGTCATTTAGTGCTATCTCAATTTGATTATACCTAGAATATCCATCTAGGAAACAGTAGAATGCATGACCTACAATTATTTCTAAGACTTGATCAAGAAAGGGAAGAGGAAAATAGTCTTTCCTAGTTACCAAATTGAGTTTTTGATAGTCTATGCACATTCGCCATCCTATGACAACTCGAGTTGGTACTAGTTCATTGGCATCATTTTTAACCACTGTGACCCCAAATTTTTTGGGCACAACTTGGGTTAGGCTAACCCATTTACTATCAGAGATGAGAAATATTATTCCAGCATCCAATAGTTTGATAACCTCAATCCTTACAACCTCCTTCATGTGAGGGTTCAGTCGTTGTTGCATTTGACGAGAGGGCTTTGAATCCTCCTTAAGATATATAGCATGATTGCAGATTAATGAGCTTATACCTTTTAAATCAGCAATGGTCCACCCAATGGTGCTTTTATGGTGTCTAAGGACTTCAATTAGTTAGACTCTTGCAAATCTGCAAGCTTGGATGAATTTACCACTAGGTATGACTCGTCCTCCCCTAAAATCAAAGCTTATACCTTTGATTTTATCATGATTTAATTAGTGTTTGTCGATTTTGCAGGTGAAATGACAAGATTAGGAGGCAAATAAGCAAACATGGGAGTGGACTACACAAAGAAAAAGAAAAATTTAAGATTGAAGTTCAGAAGTCCATGTCTGGATGAGATTTATCCATGTCCAGACAAGAGGTGTTGCATCAGAGGCAGAAACAGGCTAAAGCTCCCAAAAGGCCACACCCACACATCATTAATTCACGTCCCGACGAGTGTTGAATTGCCTGTCATGTCTGGACGTCACTTATTCCACGTCCGGACGCGTGCTTTTAGTCCCAACCAATTAGAGAGCTCGATGACACGAGAAGAGATCATCTTCCTCCTTTAGGAAAAAGTACTCTATACTTTCTAGGCGAGTTTAGAGAGCTTTACTAGATTAAGAAATTGTCTATTTTTTTTTCTTCTTTAATTTTGTTATTAATACTTCATTTATGGCTGGCTAAGCATTTATACTTAGGCTATGGGAGATTTCTTTTCAATTGGTAGGTAAGTTAATTCCATGTTCTTCAATTGAAGACTTCTTTATTAATTCAATTCATCCTACTTTAGCAAAAAATTTTCTCTATATAATCTCTTGAATTATTATGCTAATTGTGATGAATGCTTGAGATTGCCTATGAGTTGAATAGCCAGATGTACATGCTTGAGTTGAATTGTTAGAGTTTTCATCTAATTAATTAATTTGTTGGTTTTTATGAATTTGGATGTATTGATTGATTAATTGCTTGTTTTATCATTGACTCCAAGCATGTTAAATGCTTGTAATTAACAATTGAATGTTTGGATTCATTAGATTAACTCATTGATTATACTCAAAGAAAAATTCCTATGTAATTATTGCCAAATCCTCCAATTGGGGTTCACTTCCTAGTTGATTCTCAATTGAGATTGAAAATTATGATTAATTTACTACCCAAGTGTCATTGAAATAGTACCCAATGCCTTAGTATTTCTCGACGTTACGTTTCTTAAACACTTTTAGTTTATTTGTATTAAATTCCAATTACCAAATCACTCTCTTAAACACACAACATATTTTCTTTTTATTAATCATTTTTCACTCCAAAATCCCCATCTCCCTGTGGATCAACCTTGGACTCTACTAAGAAATTACTACTTGTCTGACACGTATACTTCTGTTTACAACTTCTGAGGCGAAGCACACTCCCCAAATTTGGTTAAAGCATGGGGAACTACTAGGCTAGTATCTACATGTCATAGCTGCGCCAAAAAGCTAAGGGGTGTAACACCTATACAACATGGAGGTGTTTGTTTTGATGGATAAAGGTGAATAAAACATGTGAATTTGGTTTAAATTGTTTGGGGCCCACGTATTCCAGGTTTGGATCCACAAATATAGACCGGATAAACGTTGTTACCCAAAAGATCAACCCGTAGTGATTGAAGCCCTTTATCCCATCTAAACCGAATTTTTTAAACCGATTGATCATATGAGATTCATCTACTTGGATTTCCTACCGACAGGATAAACGAGTAAAATGACAACTTTACCCTTTTTTTGGAGAAGCCCTACCTTGTCTTCACCAGATCTTGTCTCCGTCTTTGTCTGAATCATAACTGCTCCCTTCTCATAACACCCAGGCAAATCGGTGGAGCTCTAGCTATGGCCCTCGACGGATACTCAAGTGTAGCCTTTGTTTTCTCTGGTCTTTCACAAATGTTATAGATGCCGAAGGTTGTTGATGTTTAGATCGCACTCTCTCTCTCTCTCTCTCTCTCTCTCTCCTTTATTCGATTGGTACTCCAAAACCTACGGGTTGCCTTTCTGTGGGGGCAATTTTTTAACTATACCAAATTTTTGAACAAAATCAAGATTTGTGGTTCCACCATTACTGCAACGATTTGATTCTCTCAAAATTTTTGAACACTATTTGAGTGTTCGACTACTACATGAATTTGCGGAATTTTTGTGTGTGCTTCTTTGTTTAATTTTTTTGAGCTGATGATGAAAACCAATCACGGAGCAGTTTATTTTTGTCTGCTGCCACTCGTCGGAAACACATGTGCCACTTCTTGTGTAATACTATGAAGGTCAGCTTTTTTGTAGAAGTACTTCAATTATTGCAACAATAATAACCTCAAAATTCTCATGTACGACATTGGTTCTGGCCCATTTTTAATTTCACCCACCCCCCACCCCTTATTCCTCGGAAAAATATAATAAGGTGAATCTCTGAAATCTTGTCCGGTGGCCCAGTGATAATCTCACTTGTGTTCCTCATTTGGTATTCCTGACCCTCATTAGTTGTCCCAATCAAAACAAAAAACAATCAACCTGGTCGACATTGAAACTTACAACTTCTTTCTAATAATCAACGTGAAACTTGGAAGCAAGAAAAAAAGGAACTTGGAAATTAATAATCAATACGCAACACGCGCATCATTAGAACTTCTCTAGCAAGATTTTATGTTTTAGTTATCTAAAAGTTTATTTTTTATTTATTTTAACTACTCATTTTTTCAATACACACTCTAACAGATTTTCTATACTTTTAATTATTTTTTTTAATTATTATTTCTCATTTTTTATTTATTTTCTTTTCAAAAACAATATTTCAATTATCATTTTCAACAAACTAGTTTCTCCAACAACTATATTTTTTAACTATCATTTTTTAATGGCTAAAGAAAATATTGTAAAATATTGTCAATTTATTATAAAATATTAAAAATATTTGAAACATTTAATTAAAGACATCTTTTTTTTATTAAAAATATGAAAACCTTAAATAGGAGTAGAGTGAGAATATTATAAACAGAAAAATATTATGTAATTCAAATTTATAATTTAATTTACATTTTAAATTAATGAGAATTATTGGATGAGTGAGTCCTATTAATTTTTTTAAAGGAGAACTATGAGATGCAAATTTGGATCGTAAATTTAGGTTTGCATTGCTCTTAAAAATATATAAAAAAAATTTCAACCACATCTCTTCTAGTTTATCATATCTTCAAGAACATTCTTTATATTTTTGGAATATTCACTGACACTCCTTGTCAGATTAAAAATATTAACTAAAATGTAATTTTACCAAGCTGCCCATGATATATTTGAGGACAAACTTCATTCACACCCCATCTAGATAAACATATCTTCAATGAGACCTCCTCTGTTTTTTAATTTTTTTTTTACGTATTAAAATTCGATTCAAGCTAATTAAAAATTATTTTTTTACATATTAAAATTTGAGCTGATTAAAAATTATATTTTTTAAGTATTAAAATTTGAGTTAATTAAAATTCTATTTGAGCCAATTAAAAATTATTTTTAATTGACTCAAATCAAATTTTAATCAACTCGCATTGAATTTTAATCAGCCTAAATTTTAATACATAAAAAAATATAAATTTTAATTGATTCAAATTTTAATAAATCGAATTTTAATTGACATGAATTTTAATAAGTTAAAAAATATAATTTTTAATCAACTCGAAAGCGAATTTTAATCAGCGTTAATAAGTCTGGTAGATTTCAAATCGGCTCAAATTTTAATACATAAAAAATAAATTTTAATAAAAACAAATTTTAATACGTTAAACAAAATAAAATTTAATTAGTTTCGATTGAATTTTAATTGGTTCAAGTTTTGTTATGTAGAAAAATAAATTTTAATAAAATTTTATATAGAAAAATTATTTTGAAGTTTATGTAGGGACATTTTTGGTATTTTTGATAATTTTTTTTATTAGAAATGATAGTTTAATGGTAGGGGGTGTTAGTGATATTTAAATATAAATTAGAAGGGGTGTTAATGATGTGTTTGATAATATAAAGATGTTTTTAAAGATATAATAAACTAAGCGGGGTGTGACTAAAATATTTCCAAATATATATAATGCACGTCCTTGACCACTTCAACGATTTCCTTTTCTCAAGTCAAAGCACTTGGCTAACATACACTTGTAAGCTGCAGTGGAGGGAAAAGACAAAGTCTTTGGCTCAAAAATGGCACAAAGCACACCTCCAAATATGAGGCCATTCCTGTCCCTACACTCCCAACAAGCGTCGCCGTCGCCTCAGCCCCCGCTCTCACTCCCATCCAGGCACCAGCAATCTCTCTCTCTCATTCCAATTTTGACTCCTTCCTTCTCCCTCTCTTTCTCTATCTCCCCCTACTCCAACATTCATTCTTTCTCTTTCTAGCTCTCAGTCTCTCTTCTGTTGGTTCTTCTAGGTTCGGGTCAATCATGAAGCTTTGACACACAGACGCATACAAATACACTTTTTTCTCACCAAATCCAAAACTATGGAGGAAAGAATCGAAGAAGACGATACAGACGCATTGGCTGCACTTGCAGTTACGCCACCGCACCGGAAAGCCCACTCTTACAGCCGGCAACTCCGCACTAACACCGGGACACACGTCAAGCGCCACCACCAACTCCGCAAGCACAGCCTCGACGAGGGCCGAGTTCCCCAGAGTATGGTCGACCGCTACTACGATAACTCCTCTGACGATGACTTTTACCCCTCAGCCACCGTCGTAGGTGTCAGTGATCGCCACGATTACCACCTCAGCCAGAGGCTCGACCAGGGCCTATCTACGGCGGACGGTTCCGACGAACACCAACAATCGTTGCCGGAGTTCGTCGGGAACGGTGGCGGAGTCGGAATCTTCAAGGTTCCTTCTCGTTCCGCGGTCCACCCCGGCCGCCCGGCTTGTCTGGAGCTGAGACCACATCCTCTTAGGGAGACTCAGGTGGGTGCAAATGTGTGCTCTTATGTTTTATGGTTTTTAAGAATATGTCAGAATTTACAATTGCTTGTTAATTATCAGTTTTTTTAAATCTTTTAAATTTTTTTTTATTTTTTTGCGTATTCAAAGGATTTTGGCGGGGAATTTCTTGAGGAAGTGTTTTTCATGTGCTTGTTTTCCTTTTGCAATTACGTTTACAATTTTTGATACACAAAATGGACATCATCACAGGTGGGGAAGTTCTTGAGGACAATTGCTTGTACGGAGACACAATTATGGGCGGGACAAGAATCTGGGGTTAGGGTTTGGTATTTTTCGGATGCATATGAGCCCGGGATCGGGGTTGGGGGCAGGGCTCGGAGAGGGGATGAGGATGCGGCGCCATTTCATGAATCTGGGAATACTTCGTCCACAATTTGTTTGATGGTTGATTGTGGGAGTAAGTTGGTTTGGAGTGGGCATAAGGATGGTAAGATTAAGTCTTGGAGGGTGGATCAACCTTCGGATGATACTCCTTTCAAAGAAGGTCTTTCTTGGCAGGCTCATCGTGGTCCAGTTCTTTCCATGGTGATTTCTTCTTATGGTAATAACTTATTTTTCAGAATCAGTCTTTCATATATTATCCCACTGATAGTATGACATCATAGAGAGGATAATTGAAGCACGAGTTGTAGGAGTGTACTTGCTTGGATTTCACCTGGTGATTACTTTTGACTGTTGTAATTGACTAGAGCAAAACCTTATCCTAACAAACTATTAAGCATGCTTGGATTTTAGTTTCTATTACTTCTATTGTTTGCAAATTACGATAAATCTACAATAGATCAAGCTACCAATTGGAGCTGATTGCCTAGCAACACAAAATTGTGAAGTCATCATTAAAACAAGGCAAATGCATTTATTTGGAGCCATATTAACCTCAAAACTCGGAAATGAAAAGGAAAAAAGGAGAATGAAATGCAAAGTGAAAAGTATTACTAGTATTTTATTTGCTTATTTTGATGTTGATAGAACCCAAAGCTGTTTTTGTGTAATATGTATAATGAATTTTATGCATATGATGGTGCTAATCATCCAAGAAACTAGTTCAAACAGTTTTTTGCTGGTGACTTGCTACAAAATTAAAAAATAACATTGTGTTAGTTATGTTGTATTCTGTAAATTATATTAGTCGTGTTGCAGTGTCTATTCAGGCACTTATGCGTTGCTTTACTATCTTGGTTGGTGATCACAAAAAAATGCACAACACAAAACATATGTTCTAGAAATTCATTTATAGATCATGTAGTTCAACTTTATCATTGCCAATTTAAACTTTATGCTGTTTGGATTCAGGTGATTTGTGGTCAGGGTCTGAGGGTGGTATTATTAAGGTCTGGCCATGGGAAGCCGTTGAAAAATCTCTGTCTCTATCACCAGAGGAAAAACACATGGCTGCTTTACTAGTGGAGAGATCATTTATTGACATCAGAAGTCAAGTCACTGTTAACGGTGTTTGTAATATATCTTCCACAGATGTGAAGAGTTTGTTATCCGATAATATTAGAGCTAAAGTTTGGGCAGCTGGGTCTTTGTCATTCTCACTGTGGTATACTTCACTTTACACATTGTCGTCTGCACATTAATATTTAGGGAGATTGACACTGACAATCCAATAATGTTGCATTCTTGTTATGCATTGATGTTAGATGTGTTTCTTGTTATATCAGTTCATCATTTCAATTTAAATTCGGGAAAATGTCATACCGCCTTAAGTCCTTGTTTGTGATGGAAATGTTAATTATGCTGGTTATTGGCAAACTGCAGGGATGCTCGTACAAGAGAACTTTTAAAAGTATATAATGTAGATGGTCAGATTGAGAATAGAGTCGATATGTCAACAGTGCAAGACCAAGTAGTTGAAGATGAGATGAATGTAAAGTTTGTCTCCAAATCAAAAAAGGAGAAATCCCAAGGAAGTAGCTTTCTGCAGCGATCACGTAATGCTATAATGGGAGCTGCAGATGCCGTTCGCAGAGTTGCAACTAAGGGTGCAGGTGCATTTGTAGAAGATACTAAAAAAACAGAAGCACTGGTTCTTACTGCAGATGGAATGGTATGGAGTGGTTGTTCAAATGGTTTACTTGTGCAGTGGGATGGAAATGGCAACCGTTTGCAAGATTTTCATCACTATCCATGTGCTGTTCTATGCTTTTGCTCTTTTGGGTCACGAATATGGGTTGGCTATGTAAGTGGCATGATCCAAGTGATAGATCTAGATGGAAACCTGATTGCTGATTGGGTTGCCCACAATAGCCCTGTTATAAAACTGGTCGTCGGGAATGGTTATATTTTTAGTTTGGCTACTCATGGTGGTATACGTGGATGGAGCATCACATCTCCTGGGCCAATTGACGACATCTTACGACCAGAGTTAGCTGAGAAAGAATATATGTACATGAGACGAGAAAATGTTAAAATTTTAATCGGCACATGGAATGTTGGTCAAGGGAAACCATCTCAGGATGCGCTTATGTCATGGCTGGGTTCTGCAGTATCCGATGTTGCCATTATTGTTGTTGGGCTGCAAGAAGTGGAAATGGGTGCTGGTTTCCTTGCGGTTTCTGCTGCAAAAGAAACTGTAAGATCCTATAAATATTCTTCACATGGTATTTTCATATTCGTTGTGTATGAGTCTCTCTCTGCCCCAATATATAGTCATTAATTAGTTCTGCACCGAAATGCTTATTGAAGTAGGAAAAATTAGAAGCAATTAACTGCAAAGGTGCACATACTTTTGTGCTTTAGTCATTGCATCCTATCCAACTGGATATACTCTATTGAAGTTGTGGAACTGCCTTCAGAATTATTGGATACAAGCACCCTAACCTTTTTTTCTAGACCCCTTAGGCTTGGCCTAGTAGTACTTTCCATGATGACAACTTCACTCCTTTTCCCTGGCATAGGAGTTAAATTATGCAGTGGCTATATTAGGGGTAATGTCATATTCTAGCTTTAAATTATCTGCTTTCACATGTTTATCACTTTGTTGAGGGGGATTCTAGGGAAGTTGCAGATGTCTGACAGGGACTTGTGCATTTTTATGGTGTGTTTGGCGTGCACAGCAGATGGACTTTTCGTACCCAAAAGTCCATTCACAAAATTTTTTAGCGTTTGGTGGGCCTACACTTCTGACTTCTTGGCCAGAAGTCCATTGGTGAAATGCTCGTTTAGAGAAGTTAAGTTGGCTGACTTCTCAAAACAGCCTGTTCTTGACTTCTTGCGAAGTCATTAGGTTCATTTAAATGATAAAATTGAATTCCTGTTCTACCCTCATTTTTTTCTAAGGGGCCTACACTTCTGACTTCTTGGCCAGAAGTCCATTGGTGAAATGCTCGTTTAGAGAAGTTAAGTTGGCTGACTTCTCAAAACAGCCTGTTCTTGACTTCTTGCGAAGTCATTAGGTTCATTTAAATGATAAAATTGAATTCCTGTTCTACCCTCATTTTTTTCTAAGGCAATCTCAACTTTAACCCTAGAACATTACTTTTTTCACCCCTGCCATTATGACTTATTAGTGGATTGTTCTCTCTCGATTTTTCTTACTGCATATACCTGTATCTCTATAAGTACATGAATAGTTTTTTAGATTTATTAGTGTATCATATATGTATATATACACCCTCGTCTAAGTTGCTTTAAATCTCTATTACAACAAATATCCGGTAGCCTTTGAACATCGAGTCGAAAACTATAATTCTTGAGATTCAATTTCAAGCCTTTTGCCTATAACTCTTTCTCGCATATTTTGTTCAAATTCAATGTCTCAATTAAATAAAAGCCACTACGCATCAAAGTTTGATATATCTGTGATACACTTGTGTTAGATCAAAATATATAATAAACTAAAGGTTAATTAATTTAGAATTAATTTATGTTTCGAAAAAGTTGATATTAATTTTAAGAAATTACAGAGATCCAGAACAGCCTAGTTTATATTTTATTTAGATTATGTGTAAAAGCTCATCAGATAACTAACATTGAAATTCATAAATAAACATAGATAAGGATAAGGGTGACATTATAAAATCGGTATTATTTTATACTTTTGTGATATTACCACCAAACATACTTTATGTAAATAATTATACTTCTCGATTCAAAAGCACTTTCAATTTGCATGTTCACCAAACATCTAATATGTTTTGAAAGTCCATTTCGTAAAGTTTATTTTTATAAAGTCTATTTTATTTTGAGAAGTCGCTACTTTAGTATCTGGAGGATGAGTGGAAATTTTACCTAAAATTATGAGTGTGCTTGGAGTCTTTCTCTATTGCTACCCCCTTTCTCTCTTAGTCACACAAACGCACACCCTTAGTTTATATTATTTTTATTTTGATAAACATGAAGTATAATCTTTTGCTTGATATAATTTGTAATTTTTCAAATGTATCTCATTATTTGGTAAAGTTCCAATTTCTCTACTTTTTGTTGATTTGGCATTATATTCAATTATTAGTTTGAGAAAAAAAATTACTACTCTCCCAAAAAAATTCTTCAATCCAAAAAAAGCTCAAAAATCAGTTGCTTATTCACAAAACCCAAAAGAAAGTTTTTGATCCCATAATGTCCAATTACTAAGGCATCATTTGGTAATGCATTTTTTATGTTTTTATAAGCAAAAAAACAACAATTACCATTTGCTTTGGATAAAAAAACAATCTTTTGAAAAGCAATAGAATTTTTTTTGGAGAGCAAAACATATCAACTTTTTTTTTCTTGTTTGAATTTCTATGTGTAGTTAGTACTCTTATGCACATATGTAAACATGTTACTTGTAAAAAAATATGCATGAATATCACTTTCGAGAAACAATCATCAAACGTGCTTTTGCTTTTATGAAAAAGCAATTTGATAAATTTCTATTTTGCTTTTAGAAAGTACTCAATGAAGTTGCCAAATAGTACCTATGTTATCCTAAACAACGTGAGAAAAATTAATTGTGTGGCTAATGATTTTCATTTTGACAAACAATCATGATAACTCCTATTGTTAAAGAAGACCTAGTACATTTATACGAGTCTCGTCATGATTTTAACTCAAATGTAAGTAATTTTAGTCCAAACATTGCAACTCCGTATTGAAAATTCTTCATTTTGGTAATGGCTTGGACTAATGGCTTTCATTTTAACATACAATCATGATAACTCTTATCTTTAAGGAAGACCCAGTACATTTATATGGTCTCATCATAATTATAAATTTATGAGCAATGCTACATGTATTTAAAAAATAGACTTGATAATTACAATCATTGATTTCACCGAGATCCCAATATTTATTGGGACTCACTACCTATTCAATGGTTGTGATTATCAAGTCTACTTTTTAAGTCTATGTAGCATTACTCTAAATTTATATCTCAAAATGAAATTAATTTGAGTCCAAAATTGCATCTGTTCCTTTTGGTATTGAAAATTCTTTTTTTGGGTTTTCAGGATAATCAAATTTTTTTTGGCCTTTTGGATTTAAAGATGTTTTTGGTATTTTCCTCACTTTTTTTTTTCACAAACATGAAGAACTAAAGTTAGTATGTAAGCAGGGGCAGAAGTAGGTTAAATTTTTGACAATCAATGTTATGTAATTTTTATTTGCCCACATCCTAAACTTTTCTTACATTTTTTTAAAGTATTATTAACCCATTCCATCATTGGATGTGAGATCTGTTAATTCTCAGTCTTTCTTCATAGATTTGAACTATTTTACAGTTTCCCAAATTATGGTGATTTATACAAACTAGCATTTGCTTTTTGTATGGTTGATTGCAAATTAAGTGTCAAATTGTCCTACCACGCTACCTCATTATCTTTTCTTTAAATACTAGATTTGGATTTTCTTCCGGTATAATTTATGCAGGACTTGACGGTTTCTCTGTGGTAGCGTGAATTCCATGAAGTCACAGGATAAAATTGGCCTTACTTCCCACCACCGGTCTACCCATTTTCTTCCCTACAATATCTGTATTTTCAAGTTCTTTTTCCTGCTGTGTGTCTTTGTGCATACACACATGTTCATTGCTGATGTGTCAACTGTAGGTAGGACTTGAAGGGAGTTCTATTGGTCAATGGTGGCAAGACACTATAGGCAAGACTTTAGATGAGGGAACAACTTTTGAACGTGTAGGATCTAGGCAACTGGCAGGCTTGCTCATTGCGATTTGGTAAGTATCTACTATTTGTTGATCCTTAAGTGATCTGGTTACGTTTTTTTATTTCTTGATCAATTATCTTACGATATGTAATAACATATCAACTTGCCTTTAAAAATCTTTGGTATGGCATCTTTTTTATGCTAACAGATGTTCCTAACACCGTTTATACTACATTCTCATCCTACTTGTTGCTATTTATCACCCAGGGTAAGAAAGACTGTTAGAACATTTGTTGGGGACCTTGATGTTGCAGCGGTGGCTTGTGGTTTAGGTCGTGCAATTGGTAACAAGGTATGCAGGTCTTTTGTCACATAGCTCATTTTTCATGCATGAATGGTTCAGAATTTAGTACCTTTGAGGCTGGTAAAAATGAATAAGTAGGCTGGGAATTTCTTAGTTCAGTTTCAGTCAACTCTTTCCTTTCAATGTCTAATATGGTTACAACAAGCTAGCACACTGCCAGGCTATTCTTTACTGGCAGTTGTACAACACCATCAATTGCTAATTTGATAGGAAAGTTAAGTAGGAGTGAGACATATCTCTATCTCTTTCTGGGTGTCAACAGTCAGGAGTTGCTGTTATGTAAATATACTTAGATTTGTACCATATGATGCACTTGGAAGAGGGAGCCCGAATCTACTCTTTTATGAACATGTTGAATTCGGTTTACATACTATGTATCCCATTGCCTGAGCTAAATGATTCAATCACCACTGTTTTTTTATTGTTTTCGTTTCTTTGATTATTAGGAGAAGTCATTATTTAGGGTAAATTATTATGGCATCCCTTACGGAATTTGACTATTTGACTATTGCAAGAGGACCTTCATAGTTTTTGAAGTTACAACAAAATCCTTTGTAGTTTGGGTTGTATTTTACGAGGTACCTCGCTGTTAGTCAATAGTTAATTGACTACTAATGATACCATCACACTTTTTCTTTAAAATACCTAATTTTACCCTTACGATTTACGAAACAAAAAAAAAAAAAAACTGAAAACACAATTTTCTGAAAAAAAAAAACCTAATAACTCCTTACAGTTGACTAACCTTAACTGAAAACAAGCCGAACCAATAAACACCTTACAGTTGACTGACTTTACTGAAAACAAGGTGAACCTTTCCTCAACCTGAAACCTGACCGAATGACCCTGCATAACATGCAACCCAAATCTATAGGACTACTACCATAAAAAACCCTTCCCTTCCATTGGACTTTCCACCACAAAATCCCTTTCTTGGAAACCCACTCCAGTGCCCTCTGTCTACAAAAACCCAAAGCCAACAAACCCCACTTGGACTCAACCCCTCACCCTAGTTGGAACCCCTACCACCTCAAGTTGTACCACCTTAACCCAAATTGATAACCAGAATCCGCCATTCCCAAGCCTCATCCCCACCATCGTATTCACAATCATCAAACTAGAAATCTCAGTAACACGGACACATAAACGCGACATTTCTCAAAGAAGTAGGACACGAAAACGTCAAGAGACACGTTGTAGATAATTGTGTTTTATATATAAAACTATATAATTTATCAGAAGTATAGTGATAGTGGTATATTATTCATAAAAAAATTTAGTTTTTTATGATAAGTAAATGTTATCTCTAATCATTTAGCGTGAATATTTACAGTAACATCATAATAATCAATAATAATCAACTTTTTGTAGACATGTACTATACATATATTCTCATCTCTATTGCTCTTTTCTAATTTTTTTATGTATCTTTTGCTTTTGCTATTATATTTTGAGTACAACTTTAACATATCTAGTTTTGGTTGTTATATGTTCTCTCATAGTATTAGATATTTAATGGTCAAATTTTTAAGCTTTTTAATTGAATGCCAACGGATGTTTATTATTTAGTACTAGACATTCTTTAAATAAGTGTCGGATGCGTAGCCGAAAAAATGTTAGACACAGGACCAAAATTAAAATTTTATCATTTAATTATGGACACGGATAAAAGAGTATCGGACATGTGTTTGATATTGTTCGAGGAGTGTCAGTATCCGATACGGATACGTCACCTTCTTGAGAGTGTATGCTTCATAGATAGGGAGGTTTGATGGGAGCTTGAATTTCGAGAGGGGGGGGGGGAAGGGTTCTTGTTGGGGTTTTGTGTTGAGAAAATAAGAGATAAATAATAGGGTGCGGTTGGGTTTGGGCCATTTGGGGGGTCTTTCTCTCTCTCTCTCTCTCTCTCTCATTCATGAAAGGTGGAAGAGGAAGGTGGATTATATAAAGGGACATGTTTGGTATTTTGCTTTCAATTACTGGTCAAATGGTAATTGAATTGCTTCTATCAACACCAACAATGTAATTTAAGAACTATAAAGGTATCCCATGCAATTGTCAAACACCATAGGGGTTGCACTGTGGTTTACACTATTATTTATGGTTGCTTTTATCATGATCACCATATGATATTAGAGGCCGTTGCAATTACCTTACTTTATGGTGGACAATATATTTCCTTTACTTTATGGCCCAAAATGCTTATTGTTTTTCCTTTAAAAGAAAAAAAATATTTGTGGGGAACTCCAATTTGCCGAATTTATATCTCGAACATATTTTAAAATAGACAAATCTTGTGACATTGTATCGTGCAATGGTTGAATGAACGGGTTTTCATGTATAAGAAACCATATTTCAATCCGAGGACAATGAGTTTGTTATAATAAAATCACAGGATGTGTCTATTTTTTTTTCAGGCTTAATTGCAAAAAGCCCCCTATACTTGGGAGCGAAAGCAGACGACCTCCCTCAACTAATAACTTTTTCAATAAACCTCCCTGAACTCGTGATCAAAGTACAAAAATGGATGCCCGTTATTGGATGTATAAAAATACCAAAGTATGCTTGTCATTAAATTCAATTTTCAAGGTAATGCCCATGCCCTATTGTTATCTTAGACTCTACCTCTTTGTCTCTCATCTTCTACTTTATTTTCCAATTCTCATAGTAAAATTCATAAAATCACTTAAATCTAATACATACCCGGTACAAATTCAATACACACCCAATACAAACTACAATCTAAACATCAAAAACCATTTGATAGAACAAATTTTTTTTCTTAACCCTTTATTATGTCTATTCCAATTCAACAACCCAGTACATCTCTTATCCATTTTTCTCTTCCAATTCAAAACATACCTACTAAACTGAATTGATAAAAAATCTAAAAGGCTAACAACTCTCTCTCTCGCCTTTCGTGTTTGCATATATATATATACCAATTGCAAGCATACCAAGAAAACCCAACTGATCAGAATCCAAATACAAACAGCTGTCTCCCTCGTTCTCTCTCATACCAAGAAAACCCAGTTGATCAAAAATCCAAGACACAAACAATTCTCTCTCTCTCCCTCTCTCTCTCTCTATATATATATATATTCCAATTTAAAGGATACCCAAAAACTCAATAGGCAAACACTCAAGAAACAAACAACGCACTCTCTCTTCCCCTTACCAATTAAACGCATACCAAAGGATTTAGATCCACATATGACCTAAAGACCAGTACATTAGTGACCTATTAGGATGGATGTGTGTGAGAAAAAGGTGGAGGAAGTTGACAAGTTTTGTTGGGGAGAAAGCATACATTTTCCCCCCTCTTATTGGTAAGATAAAATTGTAATCTCCTCCCATACTATTTTAAGTTTTGAAATTTTTTATATTAACAAGTCAAATGAATTTTTGGCTTGTGTGAGACACGCACTATCAAATATGACGAGAATCCTTATTTTTCCGTCTTGTTTTTAGATTCAGGGTGGCTTAGTGCAAAAGTTTAAAGTTAAGGGTGGTCGTCTATGTTGGCCCAAATGCAACCTAAGAGGGGAGGGGTTGAATTAGGTTGTGTGAGTTAATGCCTAATTTTTAGCTTTCATGTATTTATACTATTTATGCAAAGAAAACAATTATATGAGAAATTATATGATGTAAATAATTGTATAATCAACAAGGTTATGTGTGTGATAGGGAATTTATATGATAAGTAATATAATATAAATGATGCAATTAAGTAGTAGGAAAGAAGAAGAAGAAACAAGATTTATGAAGGTTCAACCCACAGACATGATGGTCTACGTCCTCTCTTCTCCTCGAGTTTCTCTTCACTATCTCGATCTCCTTCAATAGGTGAAAATCAAACTGCTTACAAGCTTTGTTTTCTTCGGTAGGTGAAGAAACACCTTCACAATCTCAAGCTCAAATGATACAACTTTAAGCTCATTCAATACAAAAATATTCTCCTCTCTTTACAATAAAAAGTACTCAAATAAACTCAAAGAGAGAGAAAATCACAATTGGCCTACTAGTCAAAATCTCACAATAATGATCTTTACAATGTGTATATAAGCCTTTGAATGCTCAAGAAGTCCCCAAGAACTCCCTCAAAAGTCATGCTTCTTCAAGCCTTGAAAGCAAATGGCCCCAAAAACTAGCCGTGCCCAACGGATACATCCAAAAGGCTGTCCAGTCGACTAGTTACGCACCTAGTTACGCACCTGGAAGGCAAGCCAAACATTCTTTCCCAATTTGAAAGCCATTTGGTAGGCTAGATTCCCCATCTGGTAGACCAGATCCAATTTCTCTCTGTGCACTTCCCTCCACTTCTAAAGTGATTTTGACTCTCAAAACGTTCGAATCTGCTAATGCCTATTTTAAAAAAAGTTGTAGCCCTCGATGTCTACTTGCTAACCCTGTCGGAATCAGGTCAGTTGAATATCTGAGTAAAAATTTATGTCCAAATACCGAGACCATATCTGATTTTCTTGATTGTTTGAATCCATGCATCACCTTCAATTTTCATGCCCTTTTTTGCCTAGAAGACATTCAAATCTGAAAATTGCTAGTTAACATCGACTTGTAGATCTTGAAGTCTTCTTTCTAGCCACATTTGAATCAAGTCAATTGGACATTTGTTTCCAAAGTTATTCTCACATAATCGAGATTATGTCGAACTGACTTATTTGAATATTCTTCTTTCTTGGTTTGTTTCTTCGGCTCTTTTGCCTTAATTCTTCAAATCTTATTTTCAAATATCATAATTGTCTTCCTAACTTGAATAAGTATCATATAACAATGATTCTTAAGCTCTTCAAGGTCTCCTTTCATACTCATCACCTACAAGGTTGTTGAAGAAGCTTCTCATGCTCAGTTCTTTTCATCTTCACTCAACCACTTTATTTATGCCCATTCTCTTTATGTAGCATCTTCTTATCTTAAATCAACTATTTTAGCCATGCTCAATCTTTTCATTGCTTTGCATCTTCAATCATCCAATTGAGCATTTCACCTATGCACGGCTTCTCCTTTGGTTGTTCATACCTTGTGTGACACATTTTCCATTTAATTACATCTTGTGTTAAACCTATGCAACACTTTCAACCAAACTCACAAGAAGATGATTAGTAATACAAGAATATTTGTTATCATCAAGACCTTGCTTAACCAAGCATAGGGTCAACATTCTCCCTTTTTTGATGATAACAAACACAATAACCCAATGATGCATATAATTCGTCTTCTTACTTAACATATG